AATGTCTGACTTAAATGTTAGGTTTTATACAAAACAAGTGTAATACAGTACTCTTGTAATCTATGTGTAACATAGTACATAAGCTAAAATAGATGTATATGAAGCAACGCAAGTTTTGCAAAAACAAATATGGACAGAATTTACCTTGGCACATCAGCTGCATCGCTATACAGGGGAGAAGAAGAGGCATGCAGGAAGAAAGGCTGATAGAAAACCATGTTTTATGTGTTAGGAGACTTAGGTACCAGACTTCAAAACTTATTAAAAAGTTGTGGTGGTCAAGACAGTGGTGTGGGTGTCTCCACGGACAGTAGCTCAATGAGCGTCCAGAATCAACCCGTATATACACAGTCAATTGTTTTCCTAGCAACAGTCCAGACAATGCAGTAAAAAGAGGAGGAACTGGGCTTATTGGGGTAGCTCAGAAGGTGATGCTTGATGACCTGAGTTCAATCCTTAGGCCCCACATGATAGAGAGGACTGACTCCTGCACGCTGTTTTCTGATTTCATATATCCCACACGAATACACACACACACACACACACGAGCGTGCGAATGTGATCATGCAAATAAATGTAGGTTTTTTGTTTTTTAATGAAGTTTCCTATTACACCAACCACAGGCTTCTTACGAGAGGGAACATGGTGCTGTAGGGAGAACAAGCTTATCCACAGTTCCCTGAGACCTGTGTCTCCCAGTCTTTTATAGGCTGTGCATGTTGCCTGGGATCGGTCCGACTGCAGCAAAGGCCCCAGCTGCAGCCCTGATTGCAGATCTGGCCCCAGCTGCAGCCCCGATTGCAGTGGCCTTCGCACCTGGAGTGGCACTCCCTCAGAGTGACCAGAAAACAGTCAATGCAGCTGGTCTGCTCGGCTGACCGTGGAGTCAGTTGCCAAGGAACGGGCTGCCTGGTTGACAGCCCCCCCCCCCCCCCACCAGCTCAAGGCAGTCAGGCACAGAGGGCGGGCCTGTGGCTGTCGATCAAGAGGGGTGGCTAGTTCCCAATAGCTTAGTTTGTTTAAACGCAGTAAAGGAAAGAGGGATCCCGGGAAAATCCACTGAAGGGCGCACATGATAAAGACACAGCACTTAACGGTGCTTAACCGCTAGCCCAATATTCGTAGGAAGAATTGGGCCTTCAGGGACTAGAGAGATGGCTCAGCAGTTAAGAGCACTTACTGTTCTTCCGGAGAAGCTGGGCTCCATTCCCAGAACTCACACCGGGTATCACAACTGCCTCCAGCTCTATGGGAGCCTGCCTCTGTGGGTACCTGAACTCACATGCACACCAATACATACAGACACAAATAATGAACATGGAGAGGTGTATTTTTTTTTTAAACTGTGGGCTTTAGGAAGAGCTTCATCCTTCTGATTTGTCTCATTACTAGGATTTATCTATTTATTTAGACAGAGTCTCTGTAGTCCTGGCTGGGCCTAGAACTCACTATGTAGACCAGGCTGGCCTTGAACTCACAGAGATCTGTTGTTGGTTGTTTTATTCCTCTTTACTCTTTTGGCTCTTTGTTCTTTAGGGGGCCCACCACCCAGCTCCCAAATACATCACATGGAGGCTTATTCTTTCTTATAAATGCCCGACCTTATCTCGGCTTGTTTTTAGCCAGCTTTTCTTAACTTTAAATTAACCCATCTACTTTTGCCCGTGGGCTTTTACCTTTCTCTGAGTTCTGTTTGTTTTACTTTCACCTTCACTCCATGACTGCCGGGGCGGCGGGGCGGCAGGGCGGCGGGGCGGCGGGGCGGCTGGCCCCTTGCGTCCTCCTCTCCTTGTTCTTGCTCCTTGATCATTTTATCTTTTTTTCTCCTTCTATTTATTCTCTCTGCCTGCCAGCCCCGCCTAGCCTTTCTCCTGCCTTGCTATTGGCCGTTGAGGTCTTTATTAGACCAATCAGGTGTTTCAGACAGGCACAGGAACACAGCTTCACAGAGTTAAACAAATGTAACATGAAAGAAGGCAACACATCTTTACATCATTAAACAAATGTTCCACAGCAGAAACAAATGTGACACATCTATAACTAATATTCTACAACAGAGACCTACCTGCCTCTGCCTCCCACGTGCTGGGATTAAAAACATGTGCCACTGTGCTGATATTTTGTTTGTGTTCTGACAAATAAAGCTTGCCTGGAGATCAGAGTGTGGAGCTAGCCACTAGTTAGCCATAGAGGCCAGGCAGTGGTGGCACACACCTTTGATCCCAGCACTTGGGAGGCACACACACCTTTAATCCCAGCACTAGGGAGGAGGAAACAGGAAGTGGTATGGCTGGGCGGAGAAAGGAATATGAGGCGGGCAGAGACAGGAGCTTGGCCGTCTTTAAGACTGAGGAGTTGGAGGGGGAAGAGGTGGCTGTGGCTTGCTCCTTTGTCTCTCTGATCTTTCAGCATTTACCCCGGTATCTGGCTCCAGGTTCTTATTATTAAGACCAATTGGGATTCATGCTACATGCCACCATGCCCAGCTCCCTAGGATTTCCTAAACATGTGCCTGTCACACAACCCAGGTTTTTTCCACACCTACATATTGACTCCCCCCAAAATGAAAGTATATGTTCACGCTTAGCCTTGGCATATGACCACTCCTAATCACTTTATTTGTGCTAGCCCTGTCAACACACACACACACACACACACACACACACACACACACACACACACACCTCTTGCCCCCAAAAGGATAGAGTATATTCTGGAACCAAATGTAAGTGATAGAGGCCCAGGAACACCCACTTAGATTACCCCAAATTCCATGTTCCAACATGGTTAACAGTTTCATATTTTTCTACTAAGAGAACAAAGAAAATTTTAAAAAATCAAGACATTTTTCAAACATGTTGGTGGAAGCATCAGGTAGATGAGTTCCAGAACAGTGGGTAACCTCAACTATAGGCCTTACATGGCCATCTGGCAGCCATTTTTAGCCATGGGGTTGGTGGAAGCCAGTGCTCTGTCTGTATGCTTCAAAGGATTTATGTACCAGTCACCAACATGCTAGGTCACATACAGAGGGAAACAGGTGCTGAAGACGCCCCAAGATGATCAGGTTCTGGACCTACAGCATTCCCAACTCTCCAGAACCACCGATGCTCCCAACAGTTCTCAACCTGTGGGTTATGACCCCCACAGGGGTCACGCATCAGATATTTAAATTGCAATGTGTAACAGTAGCAAAATTACAGTAAAGAAGTAGCGACAGAAATAATTTTATGGCTGGGGGTTGTGGTGGTTTGAAAGAAAACGGCCCCCAAAGGGAGTGGCACTATTAGGAGGTGCGGCTTTGTTGGAGTAGGTGTGGGCTTGTTGAGGGAATTGTGTCACTACGGGGGTGGGCTTTGGGGTCTCCTATGCTTAAGCTACTCCTAGTGAAACAGACCACTTCCTGTTGCCTGCAAGTCAAGATGTAGGACCCTTGGCTCCTTCTCCAGCACCATGTCTGCCTGCATACCACCATGTTCCCATGATGATAATGGACTCTGAAAATGTAAGCCACCTCAATTAAATATTTTTCCTTTATAAGAGTTGCCATGGTCATGGTGTCTCTTCACAGCAACAGAAACCCTAACCTAAGACAGGAGTCCCCACAACACGAGGAACTGGATTAAAGGGTCCCAGCATTAGGAAGGCTGAGAACCACTGCATCAGTTAACCAACCTTGCAGAAGGCTCAGGGGAAGGGGTAGTCCTTTTCAGCAACTTCCATTCACAGTACAATCAGTGAGTTCAGAGGGTTGTCAGTCCGGCTTGGGAGGTTCTAGAAGACTCTAAGAGAAAGGGAAGCCCCCCTCCCAACAACTCACCTATATCTATCACCCCTTCCAGAGCTAAGGAAACAATAATTTTACTTAGCCATGAAAACAAAGAACTATTGGCACATGGAACATGGATGGACCTCAGAACAAAAAAGGAGAGTATATATTATACGGTTTTGTGTACGGGATTGTCTAGAAAATGCAAACTACTCTACAGCAACTGAAAATAGTTGGCTTAGGAGGAGCCCTGGAAGGAGAGAGGGTACCAGGAGGCACAAGGAAACTCCAGAGCCCATGCTCATGATCTTGATTGTGCCAATGGTTTCCTAAGGGAAGCATACGTCTCATCCCATTACTAGAGTTGTTAGGGTCAGAGCCTGGGCCCTGGCAGCCTTAAGGAACAAGGCTTGGACACCTGTTCTCTATATGTCAACTAAAGAGACAAGTCATCGCAGAGGGGCTGGAGAGATGGCGGGCGCAGAGGTTCAGAGTGCAGAAAAATCTGAATTTGGCTCCCAGCACCCATATCAGGCAGCTCACAACAGCATGTAACTCCAGTTCCTAGATATCCAGTGCTCCCTTTTGGTCTCCATGGCACCTACGTGCATGGGGTGCACATAAACTCACGCACATACGCACACATACATACATACATACATACATACATACATACAATAAACCCTTTTGAAAATTAAAATAGTGGAATGCAGAACAAGGTGATATGTTCAATATGGCCTCGTGGGGAAGAGAAACAAAGAGGCCCAAGGATCCTCCAAGCCCATCTTCTGAGATAAGGCTCAGTTTTTTTTTTTTTTTTTTTTTTGGTTTTTCGAGACAGGGTTTCTCTGTGTAGCTTTGCGCCTTTCCTGGATCTCGCACTGTAGACCAGGAGGGCAGGAGGACCGCCTAACTAAGCCGTTGTAGCCAAGGTGTGATCACCTTCAAGGTGGTCTGGCAAGCTGTCAACGGTGTGAAATCTTTCCAGCAGACAAGTTTCTCTTCTGGCTAGCACCAGATCTCAGCCTTTTCCTTCTCCTAACATGAGATTCCTAGGGAAATTCCGGTTTCTTGGGGTCCATTGTTTGAGTAGCCTGACAGCCAGCCCCAAGGGAGGGACACAGTGTCTCCCTTTAGGTATCTTGTCTCCTGTCAGGGCGATTACAACGGTGCACTTCACATGTGTGCAATTCAGTGTGTGTCACATTTATCTGGGTGGCTTTTGTCGTTGTGGTTGTTAATATAACAACAGGTCAGGCAGTCTGGCACTCCAGCAGTCCTCCAGCAGACAGGCAGCAGAGCGAGGTGCCCAAAGCCTTTGCCCTGGAGCCCATCACGCAGCCATGCTCACAAGAGCACAGGGCATAGAAAGCGCTGGAAGGGCGTGGAGCAAGGAGGACCCACGTTAATTATTACCCGCGGCGGCCGGATCTCTGCCCCGCCCCCGCGGTGGCCTGCTGCCTGCCGACCGCTTCTGCCTCTCTGCCGCCACCTGCTACCCGGGCTGGACATGGTAAGCGCAGGAGGTATGGCGGACCCTGAGCGGGGATCGGGAAGTAGGGCGAGGGCTCCGATGCTGAGGGTGCCGGCAGCGCCATCGCGCCAAGGCTAGGGTCACCTCGCCGCCCTCGGGGGCGCAGGGGTACAGATATGGGAGGTGGCGGTGGTGGCCGGCCCGGAGAGACTGGAGCCTGGCCTGTCTCGACTCCAGGCCCCGTCTGCTGGCAGGCTTGGGCGGGGTGTGGCAGGAAGGCGGGTCTCCATGGCGCAGTCCTGGCCCTACAGGCTAGCTGGTCCCTTGGGGTGCCGGATCTGGCGGGGGCTCAGTTCTCTCTGCACCCCGGTGCTGCCCCCCGGCCTTGCGCCCCGTCCTAGCACCTAGCTGGGATTCTGTGTCCCACCTTGGTGCGGAGGTGGGTCAAGATCTTTGGTTCTTTGGAAAGGGGTGCCCCTGGAGCTGCTAGACCCTGAAACTCTTAGCAACCAGTGCGATTCTCTGCACCCACTTTGGAGTAGTCGGGGATGGGAGGGCGTTTTGGCAGCTCTGGCCTGGGAAGGGTCACTGGGGACCAAAGGCACAGACTTGGATAATCAGTAATCCCTCAGCCCACGCTGCCAGAAGCTGACAGAGCTTTGCTAAGCAAACAAGGTCCTTACCCCTCTGACCCCAGAGTTCAGTGCCTTGTCGTTCTAAATTCGGAGGCTCTGGAAAACTCTAAAGAGACCACCCTCTCCTCCCCCACACTTCCCCTACATCCCACCAGTTCACCTGTACCCACCACTCCTTTGGGAGCCAAGGGGGTAAAAACAAAAACAATGGGTTCTGGTGCCCTGTTGCTAACTGGTTGCCTGGTTACAAGGGCCTAGTTTATCAGCCATCTGAAGGGCTGGTTCTGGAAAGACCTCCCTCCCTGTTAACCACAGTGCAGATCTCTGTTGCCTTCTCTACAGCTTTCCCTAGTCAGTGCAGGAGAGTGATGAGGTGGAGCCCCTTGTTTCTGAGAGCACACACACACACACACACACACACACACACACACACACACACACCAGTGATGGGTCTGTAAGCCCCAGTGCTGGCCTGGAACCTGTCATACAAGTCTTCTTGCCCGAGGAAACGCTTTTTAAATGTTAGTTTGTGCTTGTAATCCCGGTAGTGGGGAGGCAGAGACAGATGGATCTCCGAGGCCCAATGGCCAGCTGGCTTTGTCTACTTGGTGAAGAACTTGTCTAAAAAAATACGCGGGGAGAGGGGGGCAGGGCTGTAGAGTCGTTCAGTGGTTAAGGACACTGGCTTCTATTCCTAAGGACCTGGATTTGCTTCCCAGCACTCACCTAACAGCTCACAACTGCATGTGATTCCAGTTCTCGGGTACTGAACACCCTCTTCTGGCCTCTTCAGGCACCAGAATGTGAAGACAAAACACCCTTACACGTAAAATAAAACTTTTAATGAAACAATTTTTAATTAAAATACAGGCAAATAATATCTGAAAATGACATCTGAGGTTGTCTTCTGGCCTCCACACACATGCATGCACATACATGCACCCACCCACACAAACACATACAGCAAAATCAACCAACCAACCAATCCAAAAACCCGAAGCAAAAAAAATAGGACCCAAGAGCCTATCAGTAAACCAGCCCAGACCCCACCTGCCGGCAGGGTGCTTCCCTGAAAACCTAAAGGCCTGCTGCTTGCTACAGGGCGCTTGTATCCACAGCAGCCAGCACTGGCTAAATTCTTCCCAAAGGTCTGGGGCAGGTTCTTGACTTAAAGTAGGAATGCCCTGGGGCCTCTGCTCTCCTCCTTCTAGGCTGGCAAGGCACACAGGCTGAGTGCTGAGGAGCGGGACCAGCTGCTGCCAAACCTAAGGGCCGTGGGATGGAATGAGCTGGAAGGCCGAGACGCCATCTTCAAGCAGTTCCATTTTAAAGACTTCAACAGGGTATGTGGGGTGGGGGGCTTACCAGGCCACACTCCGTGTTTATGCCACGTCCTGTTAGCCGAGGGGAAATACATTTCCAAGTGACCTGCAAAGAGAAGGGCCTTGGACCCTGCCTTCCTGGAACTCGAAGTCTTCGGAGGGAGACAGTCCTCCAAAGGGTAGTTAAGTGCATGTCTTTCTGAAGGCGCTTTAATAAACAGCAAAAAACCTGGCAAATACTGACAGCCCATGCCACTTGCATCCACATTGAGGATGCAAGTAACTCTAACATCAGAATCAGGGGCAGGATGTTACAAGGCAGATGATTAGAGCTCCCTGGAAGAAGCTAGGCTCTCCTCCTGTATCTAGGTCATGATGAGGTCTGGGTCTTCCTTCATTTTATTAGGCTTTTGGCTTCATGACCAGAGTGGCCTTGCAGGCTGAGAAGCTGGACCACCACCCCGAGTGGTTTAACGTGTACAACAAGGTGAGTGAAGCTGTCCCCTCCCCCCACCCCCACCCCCATTCTGCCCCGCCCTGTACATCTCTTAGAACCCCAAGTCTTCCTGAAGATGTGCTCTTGGACCCTTCCTCATCAATAAGTTGATGCCCACCTCTGTCTGTCTCCATCCGACAGCCAACAGAGACTCCCCACAAGACAGCTAGTCTCACTGCTGATAAGAAGCGCAAATTAAAACACTTGGAACGACTGTGGCCAGACATTAGGAAGGCAAAAGCCAGGAAGCGAAGCCAAAAGGAAGGGCACACCCACTGTTAGCAGCACCAATGGCTTTCTTCTAGATGGGAGAACGGGAGAGCAATAAATGGAACTCAGTTGTCTGTGCCAGCTAATCAGACTGTCTTAAGAGCAGGCTAAGAGCTCCGCTGGACTGTTCATAAAAACATGAAGGATGTGTTTAGGAGCCCACCTTCGGTTCTGATTTTAACTTGTGTCTCATTTTAACACTTGTTTAGTGTATGTGTATGGGCACAGACATGCCGTGCACGTAGAAGTCAGAGGAGAACTCGTGGGCGTCGGGTCTCTCCTTCTACTCTGTGGGTCCCGGAGGTTGAACTCAGGTTGTCGGGCCGATTGGAGAGCGTCTTCTCCCGCTGAGCCATCTTGCCGGCCCCTGGCTTTTGTTCGTTTTTTTTTGCTCCTGATATCTGGCTTGTCAATGTTTTACCCTATGACTGAGGTCATCCTTCACTGTGCAAACTATCCAAGGGAAATGAGGTCTCAGCAGCTTTGCACACCTTTTTTTTTTTTTTATTTTTTTTTTTTGGTTTTTCGAGACAGGGTTTCTCTGTGTAGCTTTGCGCCTCTCCTGGAACTCACTTGGTAGCCCAGGCTGGCCTCGAACTCACAGAGATCCGCCTGGCTCTGCCTCCCGAGTGCTGGGATTAAAGGCGTGCGCCACCACCGCCCGGCTGCACACCTTTCTTAAGAGCGTCAGGAAAAGGGGCCAGTTACTGTCTTCAGAAATGACTAGCAGTCAGTTCCTGTCCTCAGCAGGACTTAGAGTGACTAGCTGTTACCCTGCAGGCCGTGGTGGAGCTGGGAGCACGGCTGGCGGTCCTCTTGCTCTTCCGGGGAGCGCGCTTGCCTGCCTCTCAACTTTGGCTCTTCTCTCCTTCAGGTCCACATCACCTTGAGCACCCACGAGTGTGCTGGTCTCTCGGAACGGGACATAAACCTGGCCAGCTTCATTGAACAAGTCGCTGTGTCTATGACGTAGATCTGCCCCTTTCCGTATTTCCTGAGGGTGGGGGGTGACTGAACAAGGAACCTAGGGAGGGAACCAAGGAGGCTGGCCCTTCGTCCCTGCGGCTTGAAGTGCACACCACCTCCCTCCACTTCGGGATGAGTCCCTGTGCAGAAAGATGTCGGTGTCAATGACAACAGCAGGAACTGAGACCTTTCCCTGTGTCACTCTGCTCATTGGGACTCTTGTCCTTTTACCCTAATTTGAATAGGGTCTTCCTTTCTCCATAGGCTTCCCAGTAGCTGTAGTGTTCTTTCCAGGCTGTATCTTGCTCCTGGTCCACCCTTTCTAGTTCGTTTTCCAAGTGTCGGTGTTAAAGTATGACATAAAGTTCAATCTCAGACCCCACAACTAAAACAAGCCCCACTGTATTGTAGAAACATGCTTTTATGCCTCCAATAAAACTATGCTGTCCATTGGTTCAGCTTCTAGAACCTTGTTTTCCACAGGACATGCCAAACTGAAATCAATCATGATGTTTAGCTTTTTTTTTTTTTGGTTTTTGGTTTGTTTTTTTGAGACAGGGTTTCGCTAGTAGCCCTGGCTATCCCGGAACTCACTCTGTATACCATGCTAGTCTCAAACTCAGAGATGCGCCTACCTCTGCCTCCCGAGGGCTGGGATTAAAGGTGTGTGCTGATGCCACCACCCTGGCACAATCGTTTAGTTTTGAGGGTTTTTTTCCCTGGATTTTGTGGCTCTGGGGATCAAACCCAGGGCTTTGAACATGCTCAGCCAACAGAAATGATCTCACCAAGGCCATGGGCCTGTCCCCAGCCAAAATGCAATTGAATGGAAACACTGACTCGGTGCGGGCACCCAGGCAGGGTCAAGGTACTGGGTAAAGGGAGGGTGCAGAGTACTCTGCCTTCAGGTTCATTATCATGTGGGGTAACGAGGCAGGAAAACCACCAGTTACCAGACAAGATGAGACGTGAGCTATGGGGACACAGCAAAGTGACTAATGCTGAGAAAGGAGTATGCCAGTCATACCTCAGAGACCAGAACTGCTGACGGGCATCGGAATAGGGCAATGTGTGCAAACAGCATGTGAAGCTACATCTAGAAAGGCAGTATGCAACTATTCCTTCTGCTATCATGGTTAATTGGGTACGAATGAACCTAGATATGCCACGGGGTGCCAGACATTTGACCAAAGAGGATTCTGGGTGTGTTGGAGCAGAGGGGTTCTGGATGAGGTTAAACTTTGAGTTGGTCCTTAGTAAAGCAGATTGCTCTGATATAGGTGAACTTCATTCAATCAGCTGAAGGCTTATATAGAGCAAGAAAGGCTGCCTATCCTCCTTCCAATAGAACTCTGGACTCCTGTTTCAGCTGGGATTATCAGTACTTTCCTGACTTCATGGGTCTTGAGCTCTAGGCTGGAACTGCTCCTCCAGCTAGCCAACTCGGCTTCCATTGTCATTGGAACCAGTTCCTTACCCCAAATCCCCTTCTGTGTAGAAAGGTCATTTCCAAGACAGTTTCTAATATACTGGCCTACATCAGAAACCAACATCTTAAGACCTCCAGTTCTGACAGTGTCTGCAATTCTCAGTCTTAGCGGAGGGCTCGACTGCTGTTACTCTGAAGGGAGGACAAGGTGGTGGGGGAATTAGTGGGCTATTTGCTACTGGAGCAGTTAAAGACAGTTCACACAGGTCAGGTCCCTGGCTAGGAATTCCCAAGGGTAGAAAATGCCCAAGTGACAAAATTCGAATGGGAGCCAAGCCCTATCTTTTCTACACCCATGTGTATGCCATAAGACACCCAGGAGACACTGGAGTCCTCGCTTAGGACCCCTGGCCTGGAGCCTAGTTAGCCTAGATAAGTTGGTCCTGACCCCCACCCAAAGCCAGAAGAAGCAGAGAGTGGCACTGAGACATGAGCATGCTGTTGGGAGGGCTGCTGGGCCCTCCCCAGCCCATGCTAGTAATGCAACGGCAATCTGTCTGCACAGCTTAACATCAAGACCACCCAGACTCAGACGGTGACATCATCTGTTCCACTTCAGACAATGTTCCCAAGTGTGCTTGGATCTAACATGGGGTAAAGATAGGAAACATGGAGGCCCGGGCTAGGCTGTTAATGGCCTTCCTAGTCCACTTAACATAGATCTGGATTTGAAAACGAACGCCAACCCAGGCGGCTCCCCGTCTGTATGAGGCACATCTATCTACAAATGACAGGCAACAGCTTTTAGAAACTGGTTTTATTCTCAGATCAACCCGGGTCACTGAAGTTCTAGGGGAGGGCGCTGAACAGAGAAGGGGTGAATGACAGTCACACGCAACCCCAAGAGGAAGGCCTGAATCTCCACAGCAAGAAAAGGCTGTCGAACTGGGCCTGACGGCACAGGCCTGAAAGCCACCTACTTGGGAAGCAGAGACAGGAGAATCAAAAGTTCAAGCCTAGTCTGGGCAACTGAGTGAGAATCTACCTCACAATTAAAAATACAAAATAAAAAAGGGCCGGAACATAGCTGAGTGGTAGGACATTCACCTACTGTGCAAGAGGTCCTGGGTCCAATACCCAGTATGGGGTATGCTGCCAAAGCCTGGCTTTTGCCCACCCAGGCTGTAATTGGCGGCCATCAGAGCAGGCCTGCCAATGCGTCTGTCACCACTGGGTATGGCTGAGGCAACTCAGTACTATCAAGAACCACACCAAAGCCGGGCGGCGGCGGCGGCGGCGGCGGCGGCGGCGGCGGCACACGCCTTTAATCCCAGCACTTGGGAGGCAGAGCCAGGCAGATCTCTGAGTTCGAGGGTAGCCTGGGTTACAGAGTGAGTTCCAGGACAGGCACTGAAACCACATAAGAGAAACCCTGTCTCGGAAAAAAAAGAAAAGAAAAGAAGCACACCAAAGACAAAAAGATATGCAGCCATCAGCATCCCAGCTGCTCTTCGTGAATTCAGCCAGGTCTGCCCAGGGTGTACTGTGATCGATCACCATATATATATATATATGGTGATATATATATATATATATGGTGATCGATATATATATTATACTGTTGATCATCTTCGAGTGCACTGGTGACAATCTTAGGGTTTTCTGGTGACCAGGAATCTGGGCCATTTGTCAGGAACCACAGAAAAGATAACATTCTTTGCCCTCACTCTGTCTAACTTTGACAGAGTTCGTTGGTGTTAAAGCTGGGCTACCTGAACCATGGGAGGCCTTCTCTTTCTTATTCAGAACAGAATGTGACACCCAGCACTCATTCATTAACCAGGAGTGTTACAGGCGCCCAAAACAAATGATGGGCTTTTGACTGGACAGAGCCACGTTGTCCAGTTGGTGGGGGACCACCCAGATGGCTAAACCATCAGTATGTTCTGGAACAAGTGGATGGAGAGGAGGTCAGGACCAAGGCCCCAGAGAACTAAGGGCCAGGACTATAGACCTCCCAACAGACATAACCGCAGTTCCTGGAGACACCTAAGGTCCCTGCTGAAGTACCTGGTGTCAACACATTCACAGCATACCGAGTGATACCCGCAGCAGCCTGGACGTGAAGGCCACTGCTACAGGCATGCCACGATACCACCACCAGGGATGAGGTGCAGGGGGATGGGACAGGGGACTGCTCACCAGGTTCCCATTCAGCACCTGCTGTACTTGTGATCTGTATAAAATAACGCAACCATCCAATAATTACAGTTTGGGATATTTAATGATTCAATAGCTTTTTAAGAGTTATTGCTGCAGTCAGGAAAGGGCATGGAGATGATGGGAGGTTGAGAAGACAAAAGAGTTTTCAAAGAGGCAAGTACCATTTTCCAAGTATAAAACTGGTAATATTAAAAGTGACATGGCAGTATATTCACAGTACTACCTACGTCTAATACAGAAACAAGACAGTACAGTGTTTGCAGAAGCTACTGTGGGACCTAAGCCACATGATACTAGACATCCTACCCACCCAACACCAGCTAACATGGCATGCACACACAAAGACACACACACACAATGAAAGGAAGCCTGGAGTCACACTAAAGTTCCTAATCATAAAGTGGCTACAGCAGGTCCCTCTGAAAAACACCATCACCCCACCCCAGTGCTGTCACAAAGGAAGGAGGTGGATCCGTTCCTGGTTCCTCTGAGACTACGTTTTAGCCTCTGGCAAGCCAGTGGTGCCTGCTGGGTGGTCCCTGGTCCTCTCCAGCATGATACACTGTAGACCCAGAGATAGTCCTGCATAGCTCTAACCACTGGAAGTGTATGAGCTCAACAACTAAGTCTCTTTCTGACACATCAGAACACTAACCATCCCTGGACCCCCACAGCACACTGCAGAGCACACAGAAATGGAAGTGGAAATACACACTTGCCCTGCAATGAGCCAGCTCCTAACAGTTATGGGGTCAGAAGAGTGCTGAGGAACACTTCCCAAGGAGGGGGAGGAAGAGCCTGGTGGCTTTGACTCTCGCAGCCAGCAGTACTCAGGCTGAATACTCAGGAATCCCCGAGAAGGGGAGGGAACAGAGCAAGGCTCCTGCTGACTTGTCCTGCACACAGACACACCTCAAAGACTGGTCCATTTCTGCCAGGGCCTGGGTGAGGAGTAAGGTTACTACTCACTGCTGGGGAGAAAGGCACATGGTATGATCATCAGAGCAGGACAGGGGCTCAGCCTGGATCACAGTCCCCATCCCTGAAAGGGAGAAGCAAGTGGGGAGTTGGCACAGGGCTTGGTCCTGTCCCTGCATCACCCTGAGCAATTGGTCTCAGGAAGGAACCCCAGGCCCCAGGGGTAATGGCTGCAGCCACGCCTTTCCACTCCGAAACACCTCTCTTGTCCTATGCTGCTTCCTTCTAGCGGGGGCTGAGGAACATCCAGTACCTGAAGCTCAAATGCCATCGTACCTTTGGAAGCTGAGTAAGGGGGGAAGGGCAGGAAGAACACACTGGTGGAGGAAGTGTCCCCTGCACATCTTCACACTCCCTGAGGAAAGTCAAGGGCACTTGGGGAGTGCTTCCTTCAATCAAGACAGATTCTCATTACATGACAGATTAAGGCAGTGTGGAAGGGGAGGGCCACTGCCCACATGGGCGCATAGGTGCTGACCTACACTGCTAGTCAAGAAAACACGGGAAAGGGTCTGGTTTCGGCTCATCAGGCCCAGGAGAGGGCTCAGGCATGATCTACCCCTACTCCAGAGAGGCAGCACTGCAGCCGGAAAGCCCGAGATTCTCTGAACACGTGTTCTTTTCCTACCCTACAGAGATAAGAACCAACAAAGGGAGTATCACTGCCAACAGGCTTCTCCAAAGACGGCGGCAGCAGCCATGGTCGTGCGCAGAAGACAAAGGAGCACTTCAAACCCTGCTAAGGGAACATGCTCCACTTATGCACAAGAGAGGTCAGTGACCTGGCCCACCTGTGCTGGGGAAAGTACAACAGGCTGCCACGGAAGCAAGCGGTCCTGAGAGACAAGGGACATCTCCTGAAGCAGAGGCTGAGATCACCTCCTGCTTGGGACACAGCAACACCCACCTGGGGAACACAGTACATAAATGCCTCCTGCCTGGCGGCCAAAACATTCGGCTGAGGGAGCAAAGACACCCTCTTGCTATCTCACCCTTTCCCTAAGCAATCAGGACAGGTCAGAGCCACCGCACGATGACTAAGGGCAGATGATGCTAAAGACGTTAGAGAAGAATCCGGTTAAAACAATTCCTAGGGTAACATTTATAACCAGGGCAGACTCATTACGCAGTGGAATCCTTCAGGGTCTTCACATTCAAAGCCACAAAAGGAAACAAAAGGAGTCCTGAGGCTGAAGCTATCTTATGGTTTATCGTATTTGTGCTCTAAGGAGCAGGTCCAGACGTCAAGTTGTGGGTGGTCTGTTCCAAATGCCAGGAACCTTCTGAAGGCCTAAAGCTCCATGGAACTAACAAGGGTCAAAGTTCAGCGGGGCTTTGGAGAACCGTTCATCTGGCTGCCCTGAGTCACAGGGTCCGTACTGTAAATGCTGTCCAAGAAGACGGAGGATATTTCTGCAACCAGGTTCCTGTCAACGGTTGCCTGGGCCATGCCATAGATGGCACCCTGCCAATCCAACCAAGGACATGTTATTAGTAGTGTAAGTATAGCCGCCATTCATCCGCACCCAGCCCCATCCTAGCCCAGGCATCCTATCTTTCTTTCCATCAGAAAAGCAGCTGCTGCTGGAGATTTTTCACAGGTACTTTCCAGGCTGCCCTCCCAAGCAAAAGAACTACTCTATGGGATTTACTGGGGTTTTTTTGTTTTGTTTTGCTTTTTTTAAAGAGCTCATTGCCTTTTCTGTGTCAAAAGTTTCTTTACAAACAGGGCAAGAGCACCCCTGCTTTGGTTCAGCAGCTTCTGCTTTCTGGCTCATCTGAGGTAGATAGCCAAGGGAGGGAGGGACCAGCAGCAACATTAACTGTGGAGGAGAGTGTGTGCACACTGACCTGAGGCGGAAACAGACTCTAAACAGTCTGATTATCTCAGGGGCCCACACAACTCCTGATACTTCTAAGTGGGGGGGCCGTAGTATCCTTACCATTCCTGTGGTCTTCGCTTTAGGATTCTTCATGATCTGTGTGATCGAGTCCCGGATGTCCTTCAGGAACTGGGTTGCCACTCGCTTCCGAGTGTGCACTAACGTAATGCAGAAGTGGATGCTGTTGGAGAGGAGAGGGAGAGAGAGGACAGACTCTGAGATGGAAGGGAACCCTAGAATAAAGCCACCCGGGGGAGGGGTGCCCTGGCTGACTCCCTGAGCTGCTGCTGTTCCCAGCCCTTGGGTCAGGCTGTCAGATCCATGGGGTTTTAAGAGAGACGATCAGATTCTTCAGCATGACCAAGAGCCACCGTAACAAAATGAACGCTGCTGGCTCATCTCTCCTGTCCCCATCCCAGAAACTGTCCATGGTGGCTCCTTTAATCACGTGTGTGAGCGCAATGGAGGGGAAGAGGCTTTCATCTTAGAGGGTAAGCCCTGGTGGGGAGAGAACCATAGAGCTGGGTCTTGAAGGACTTCGATGCTCCTAAGAAGCCCTAACTCACTCTGGGGAAGGATGGGGTTGGCAAGGCTTGTCACTTGTGGAAGGCAGGCTGCAGGTATGAGAACAAGCAGGCCTGCATGATCAGGAACCTGTTAGAGGGCTTTGAGTGAAATACACATCACCCAGGTAATGGTATCTTAGAGAAGCGAGCTGACAGTTATGGACAAGATGGATCACAGAACAGAGAGACCAGGGAAAGAACAGAGGGGAACCTCACAAGTGACATTCTGTCTCAGGAGGTTGGCAGCCAGTTCGACTAGAGCTTAAAGCAAAGTATTTTGTTTCTTATATCTACAAACTCCAGTGGCTGCCAATGTGCTGGGCTCTAGAGGCTGAACTCCATACATCAGGTTACCCTGCTACCTCAGCTCTGAAGGTCATGAAATGAAGGGAGGGGCAGAGGCTTTAAGAATTACCTTTTTGGAAACTGCAAGTAATTAAAATTCCACCCCTTAGCAGCCATCATATTAGATAGTCGGTAGATGTCAAAATCGTGGGAGCCCAGAGCAATAACTGACAATTGAGGATCCCCAAAAATGAAGATGCTTTTGATGGTTTCCAGTCTAAAAATAAGCAAATGAGAAAAGAAACTGAGCCACATCCATTCCTCTGGTCTTAATCTCCGTTGATGAACACAGCCTGCTCTCCTGGGACTTTAGTCTTCTACACCAGAGTCCAGGCTGGCATGGGCGACCCTTATGGAGATCAAAACCCCAGACAGAACATCAGGAACATTTCAAGGCCTAAACTCTATCCAGAACCACTGGCTTCTCCCAGTCTACCCCACCCCTAAGTCACAGCACAGAATGCAAGTGTCTCCTCCCCAAGCACCATCTGGTAAGGGGCTGGCCTAAAGGAGTCAAAGAGTGTGCCACCAGGCAGAGAGATGCCTTGGGCCAACTAGGAGAAGGAGCAAGAGACAAAGCAGAACCCGTTTTCCACACATACTCTGACTTGAGGTAGCGAGCAGTTTTGATGATCTGCTTGGTAGCTTCCACGTAGCCGTTCTCACCGATGTGCATCAAGGCGGCCCAACAGGCTGCAATGATGCCCCCAGGCCGCGAGCCTGCTATGCATGGAGAGGCGTAGATGCCACCTTGCCAATCTGCACCAACAAAGAACTGGTACCTCCTGTACTTCTCGTCAGAGTACAACAGCACTGATGAACCTTTGGGAGCATAGCCGTACTGAGGGGAGAACAAAGAGGTCAGCGTGTGGGTGTGTCCGGCAACTGTCCACACTGTCACATACAGCCAAGCCCCATTTCTCACTGGCTTCCGCGTTCTCTTTGTCAGGGGTAAGAATCTGAGATCCAGAGGAAAATTAAGACTAGGCTTCCTCCCTCTCTCACTCGGCCTTTGACTTTCCTGACTTAAAATCTTTCCCTGGGAAGCAATAGCAATAGCATCCACCTAAAATCCCAGCACTTGGGAGGAGGCAGCAGGAGGATCAGGAATTCAAGGCCATCTTTGGCTACATAGTGAGTTTCAAGCCAGCCCGGGCTATATATAAATACCTTGTATTAAAAACAAAACAAAACAAAAAACTTTCTCTGGGATAGCATGTTAGTATGAAAACAAGGCTAAATTTCTAGGAAAAGCAAGGAAAAAAAAAAAAGGAACCCAAGTCATTTGGAAGCTCCAATTATAATCTGAGCTGATTCCCATCTCCTTTGCTCAACATTACACTTCTTTTTAAGAACATATTGGTGTTCCAAATGCAAAATTACTTATTCCATCTTGGAATACACTGTGGAACTCAATCCCTGCAGGTTTCATTCCCAGACCCACACAGAAGTGGTCCATTAAAAGGGAAAGGACATAGGAGCTGTTCCAGTGGTAAAGCAGACACAGACTGCTTTTTACAGACTTTAGAGTCTGAAAAACAAGTCTTCACTATGATTCAGTTTAAAACAAGCTCTAGAAATATACTCAAAACAAGGTACATATCATTGTAGCCATTAAGATTTTTCTCCAGAGCTGGATATACTTTCTTTTTTTAAAAATTACTTATTTAACTTTATGTGCACTGGTGTGAAAATATCAGATCCCCTGGAACTGGAGTTACAGACAGTAGTGAGCTGCCATGTGGTTGCTGGTAATTGAACCTGGGTCCTCTGGAAGAGCAGTCAGTGCTCTTAAGCACTTAGCTACCTCTCCAGCCTCCTGGATATACTTTCAAGAGTTGCCAACTAAGACAGATTTCATTTCAGCCTACCAAGGGTGGCGAGCACAGACATATCAACACTGTGAACCAGTTGCTCCTGAACACACAGGTTTCTTTTTTAAAAGGACTCTGCTATTAGCATACTGTCACTTAGGCTCAGGAACTCCATTATCAATCCTCATCACCTTCAATAACCTCAAGACTTCAGAGACTTTGGGCACAGGGGCCCTGGCTGCATAGTCAGTTGACAGGGAAATACTTAGCCCGGTATGAGCAAAGGCAGGAGCTCCTTTTCTCCATGACTTGTCATCTCTGCACTGTAACCACCACCTCATGGCTCACCTGACGACTGGGGTGATACTGTGTTCCCCCAAAATATTGTGCACCCTAATAAACTTATCTGGGGTCAGAGAACAGAAAAGCCACTAGATAGACATAGAGGCCAGAAAATGGTGGTGCACACACCTTTAGTCCTATCACTTGGGAGGCAGAGATCTATCTGGATCTCTGTGAGTTTAAAGTCACACTGGAGACAGCCAGGCACTCACGCCTTTAATCCCAGGAAGTAATGGCAGAAAGCAGAAAGGTATATAAGGCATGAGGACCAGGAACTAGGCTGGTTAAGCTTTTGAGCAGCACAGTTCAGTTGAGAGGCATCTAATCTGAGGAAATAGGATCAGCTCAGGAATTGGGAAGGGGAAGTGGCTGTGGCTTGTTCCGCTTCTCTGATCTTCTAGCATTAACCCCAATACCTGGCTCCAGGTTTGTTTTTATTAATAAGACTCTTTAAGTTTCATGCTACAGACGACAGACAAGAGTCAGACTTGACTTTATACGTTGCTATGTGTGCTGGTTTGAATGAAAATGGCCCCAGAGGCTCATAGGGAGGACTGGCACTATTGGGAGGTGTGGCCTTCTTGGAGTAGGTGTGGCATTGTTGGAGGAATACGTCACTGGGGTGGGGGTTTGAAGTCTCAGATGCTCAGGTCAGGTCTTTCTGCTGCCTGCAGATCCAGATGTAGAACTCTCAGCTACCTCTCCAGCACCATGTCTGCCTGAATGTTGCCCTGCTTCCCACCATGATGATAATGGACTAAACCTCTGAACTGTAAGCCAGCCCCAATTAAATGTTTTCCTTATAAGAGTTGCCATAGTTGCCGGGCGGTGGTGGCGCACACCTTTAATCTCAGCACTCGGGAGGCAGAGCCAGGCAGATCTCTGTGAGTTCTAGGCCAGCCTGGTCTACAGCGTGAGATCTAGGACAGGCATCAAAACTACACAGAGAAACCCTGTCTCAAAATACCAAAAAGAAAAAAAAGAAAAAAAGAGTTGCCGTAGTCACAGTGTCTCTTCACAGCAACAGAAACTGTAACTAAGACAGCACACAAAAGTGTGGGGAGATTAATGTTTCAGTCAACTCATTTTGCGGAGAATAGCTACAATCACCAACTGTCAGCAATTGGTCACTTCCTTGGCTCACCTTATGAGTATCTGCTGAAATGCTGGTCACACCTTTCACCCGAAAATCAAACTGTTTCTTCAGTGGGTACCCTGCTTTCTCCATGAAGACAATGAGGAAGCCTCCAAGGCAAGCATCCACATGAAGGGGGATTTTATATTTGACAGCCAGCTAGTTAAAAAGAACATATGAGAATATAAATAAACCCTTAGCAGGATGTGAGTGGAAAGATAGGCTACTCTGAACTACATCCCGTAGGTGTTAAAAAGTGGCTATTTATTTATTTATTTATTTGAAGACAGGGTCTCATGTATTCCAGCCTGGCCTTGAACTTTTCTGATCCTCCTGCCTCAGATGACCAGCATATGCTACCATGCCCAGTTTTATGGGGTGCTGAAGATCAAACCCCAGGCTTCACACTTGCCTGGGGTACACTCTACCAACTGACCCTCAATCCCAGACCCCAAATAGTTACTTTTAACATTTTTAAATGAAGTCTTATTCCCCTCCCCCTACCCCTGCCCCTGCACCATCATGTGAGAAATAGCAGAGCTCTCAGTTAACAGTCTCTAGAGGGAAGGTCCTACTTCAGTCATTATGTGGTGGGCATGTTCCTAATGGCAGATTATTTCCTGGTAGGAATCTAAGAATCAGTACTATTTCAAAATACCTAGGTTAAAGGCAGCCTGGGTCATGTACTACCCTTCTCCTAACCCAGATGCCAGTGACTCCCAAAATAGTGCAGGGGCTTGCCTTAGGGTTGCTGAGTACCAGCAATCCCTGATATGTTCAAACCTAAAGTCAGAACTCCTTCTCTTCACAAAGCCCTGCATCATCACATCTATCTTAAGTACTAATCGGCACAGCCCACATTTCTCACCTTGGCCACTTCAGGGATAGGATCTATCACGCCATGAGGATACTGTGGGGCAGAACAGACCAGCATAGCTGTGTTCCTGGAGATGGCGCTTCTCATTGCCTAGGGAGTTAGAGTTTAAGAGAAGTAAGTCTTGGTCACCGCTGCTCATGTTTCAACTGTAAGGACAATATGGACCACTGGCTTAGAGTCCAGGTTCCCAAGGGCCTCCTCTGCCTCTACACCCTGGGAAGATGCCTTCTGCTAGGAAGGGTGCACACAAGTCCACACGGAAACACCACCCGAGAACAACACAACCGCTATGGAAACAGACAATACTGAGCGAGGAGGCAAAGGAGCCAAGTGTGAGTCCCTGCCCCACAATCCACCAGTGATGATTTAGTAAAAACTTGACTTAACCTTGCAGCCCACGAGTTCCAATAATGGAACAGCTTCAATAAAATGAAAAGTTCCTCTACACATATGTGAGACCTAAAAACATGTTCAGGTCCGTGAAAGGGAGTGTTGGGGCAAGCTCATTCATACTCATCTTACAAATGAAGGAAAGAAAATAAAGGACTTGCAAGTAAACTCTGGCTCTACACCATCAGGGACCAGATCATCCTCCTTTTAGTACTCAGCAATCTGGCTGGCTGTCACACAGCCAGTCTGGTTTCTGCTCTGGCTGCTCTAGTCTGAGCAGGGGAGTCCATCTGTGTGCAACTGGAGAGGTGTCCATGTGACATTCTGCCCCTTGAACCTGCAGAGGACTCACCCGCACATCCACCTCCATGTTCTTATTCTGTGCAACACGTACAATCTTCATTCCAAAATAATGAGCTGCTTTGTCAAATGCGGCATGGGCACTCTGAGGAGCCACACTAGGTGATGAGGAAAGAGGGGACTAATGAAACGTGGAGCACAACAGAACCCAGGAGAACACTGCAGTCAACCGTCACCAGTTCAAATTCAGATCATTTTTCCTCACACTACTATGTTTATATTTTCTTGGTGTAAACAAGAAGAGACATACTGATTTTTCTGCAATTTCTTCCTACTATTTGGGACATTTAAAAATGTTCAAAAGGCAAGAGGAAGGAAAACTCAGAACACAAAAGGACACAAAGCCTAAGTTGCACCAGACAGGAAATGGCCATCATACAGAGGGTTCAGATGAGGGTGTGTGAGGCAGACCATCCAGAGGACCTCTGAGAGAAGCAAGATTCAGAGAGTAAGGCTGCCCAGCAGAGATGCAGAAGCAGCAGCCAGGCCTCAGGCAGAGGGGCCTGCCAGTCCTGAACAATCACCAACCTATGGAAAACTCAACTCTGTCTCTCCTACATGGTTACAAATCGTTTTCAGTGTTCAAAGAAGAAAGAGCCACGGGTACATGTTTGCTTCCAGACATCCCCATTACTCCACTCTGGCCATTACTGTTTCCTTCAAGGGAGAAAAATCTCTACACTGACTAAGCGCCATGCACCAAAGGTTGGCATGTGAAGATGAGGATGGCAGCCAGGTTGTTTTCCTTGGCAAAGTGAGTCAGTCTGACGATACACAGAAGAAAAACTACTTAGTTACCTATGCTTGGAGAAAAAATAAAAAACAAAAACATTAGCCCAAAAGGTATAGTATCAGTACCCTGTATAGAAGGTGGTCTAGAACCAAAATTATATCCACACCAATAGTAATAATAGTAACTAAACCTAAAAAAAAAAAAATATATTTTTAAATTCTTCCTTCTAGAAATAGCTCTCAGGGGAAAATGTTCCTGCAGAGTGCTTGAGGTAGTCTAAGATGCTTCAGAAACATTCACTGAAGTACAAGACAAAGACAGTTTTCCTTAGGTTCTGGGTAAATTAACGACAGAGGACTCAGAGCCAGCCCTCTAGCTGTCTCCTCTGGTAAAAGGATGCCATTCTTACTAACAGTGTCCAGTGTGTTTAAGCTCACATAACCAACTGCTCCATTCAGAAGATCTAGCACTACTAGATGTGAAGGGATAAGGTAGAGGGGCTGGGCCAGGGAGAGAAGGCTGGCACTGTAGGAGGAAGAGAAGCAGCAGACAAACAGATTGGGCTCAGTTGGCACTGCATTGCCCAAAACAGGCAATATCAGAGGGGAAACAGACACACACACATACATACATTTCTGGAGTTTTGATCCCCTTCTCTAAGGCCAAGTCTCGATAAGCTTTGCAAGCCATCAGGATGCTTTCTGTGCCCCCAGAAGTCATCTACACAAAGAAAAGAAGACAGGAGTAAGTTAAGGGTAGGGATCAGGAGGTACAGCCCACTTTGACCTTAACAACGTTTGATGCAGAAACAGACCAGGGCGTGGGCAATGCTGCAGAGTAGACACTGTCCAGAAGGACAGTGTGGGTCAGAGACCACAGGAATTACAGGGTGTGCCAGTGTCCAGCCATTAACACTTCGGAAACTCAACTTGACGTTCAGTAAACACACCCTATTACCTCACTATCTTTCAGTAACAGCTGAGCTTGAATAATTTCCTACCAAGCCAAAGGCTCCAGCACTGAGCCAGTAGGATCTCATCTTAGACTCAGCATCTGTAAAGAGTCTGTGTGACTCTTGGGTTCACCATTAGACCTGTTGATAAGAAGTAAAACTTGCCGGGCAGTGGTGGCGCACGCCTTTAATCCCAGCACTCAGGAGGCAGAGCCAGGCGGATCTCTGTGAGTTCGAGGCCAGCCTGGGCTACCAAGTGAGTCCCAGGAAAGGCGCAAAGCTACACAGAGAAACCCTGTCTCGAAAAACCAAAAAAAAAAAAAAAAAAAAAAAAAAGTAAAACTTTCTGTATTTTGGATTATACATTAATTAGAAATAGAATGAAGAATGAGTACTAAACTTTCCTAACATTTACATACAGGATAAAAATACCATTGAATCCCAGTGGTCTAGAGTTATGAAGAAGGCCGGGCGGTGGTGGCGCACGCCTTTAATCCCAGTACTCGGAAGGCAGAGCCAGGCGGATCTCTATGAGTTTGAGGCCAGTCCGATCTACAGAGTGAGATCCAGGACAGGCACCAAAACTACACAGAGAAACCCTGTCTCAAAAAACCAAAAAAAAAAAAAAAAGAATTATGAAGAAGATTAACTTGGAAAATTAAGTAATTTTTTTGACTCGGGAAGCTTTTCATGAAACATGTGACCATCCTCCCTAAAACAGCTCACAGGATGAGGACACAGGAACCTTGTCTGTAGATCTCTATGCTGGACAGACAGATTGCTAGCAGTTGAGATTAACTCTGCTAATCAGCAACAACGCCCTGTGGTCTAGCCTAAAACCTCAGCGTTGTCACATGAGACCCCAGGACAGCTGTGTAGAAAGCTGGGCAAGCACCAGGCCTTACACACTTACCAAGCCTGACAAAGACCTAAACAAAAAATTCCCTAATTCCCAGCCATCCACATCATGTGTCCTGTCTTCGGGACAGAAATTTAATTATGGAATAAGAAAACAGAGGTCACAAGCCACTTGTGTCTATCAACTTCCTTCAAAATACATAGAAAGATCACTTTGAAGTATGTGTTTAAGAACACAAAACATTCCCTTTCAGTTGTGGCTGAACATGGTGGCATTTATGCAAGCCAGTCCACGTACCTGTAATCTGGTTTTTTAGTGTATGAATTTGCCCTCTTATCCACTGTGAAAGAGGTAAATGAGTTAATAAATAAATAATAAATGAAAGGAGAAGGTATTTTGAAGCAGGAGAAAAAGGCCTCAGAAGTGTTTAGGACCCACAGCTAGGTTCAGTCTAAAGATTTCCCTTTAATTTGGCTCCATCTTCTTGCTTCTCTCAACAGTGAACCCGTTTTCACCAAAAACAGCTCATCAAGACAGACACACAGAGAGAAGCAGAGACAGAAGAGAGAAGGAGACTATGGGGGGGGGGACAAGGAGAGCGCTCTATAGAAGTCTAGACACAAGGAGAGACAGAACTGGACATCGTCCTTCCTCCTGGTCCCTGCCACACCACGACAGAGGAGAGACAAGGTTTCACTGCAGCAGTGTGACCGTCCTTAGCTGTATTTGTGCATTACTATGGAAGACCTGAGAAAGGGCACAGCAGCAACAACCCAAGAGCTCCGTGATAATCACCACCAAGTAAGGGAAGAGAAATCTACGGGACAGATGTCACACACAGGCAAGGAAACAGCGGTACAGGACAGACTCGGAGGTGACAAGCACACAGTGCCCAGCCAATCCTGGAAATCAGGGAGTCAGCAAAGTCTTGAACAGTCTCATGAGCACACCCTCCCGGGAGCTCCAACTTCAGGAAGCAGAGCTCTCCTAGCCTCCTCCTTTCTCTGTGTAGTGGACACGACTGATGGGGAGAAAGAAGCAACATGGAAAGACAGGACAGCAAACCTGACCCCTTTAAAGAGGAAAAATCTCAGTGATTCGTGGTGGAGTAAAGCTCAGTATACTCCCCTCTTTCAACTGCGCGGAGAGAACGTCTCATGGAATCTCGGAAGGTTCTAATAGAGGAGGAACAAAGCTCCAGTCAGCCGGGCAGACATCAGCACAAACAGACCATCAGGAGAGACCACGGCAAGAACCAAGACGAAGCAAACGGCGACCACTGTAAACGTGGGGGTGGGGTATGAAAACTAAAAGGGAACAGCTGAAACAGGTGCTTCCTCACAATGGTTTCTCACCCTAGCACCCCAGTTCTCACCTGTGCGTTGAGACCGTGGGAAACACATACATTTCCGGTGGTCTTAGGAACCCCCAACCATCAATGTATTTTTGGTGCTACTTCCTCACTGCAATTTTACTGTGAGCGGTGGGTGTCTCACTTCTCAACCCACGGGCTGAGAAGCACTCACTGCTCCACGGCATGATCATCAGAGCATAATTCAGGACAACAGGAGACAAAGCCAGACAACAGAACAGCAGATGAGGGAACAGATGAACTCAAAAGAGCAAACGGCCCTCACTGAGGAGTAAATACGTCAAGAACAGCAAGAGACAGAATAAACACCCCGAAAATAAAAAATTCTGACTCGGAAAAAAGATCTGAGATATATTTAGTGAGTACAGATGGTAAAAAAGACAACGACAGAGGGACCCACGCCCTCTACACTTAGAGAGCTGTGTGCTGCTGTCAATGCCTGGACAGCTGGAGAGCCGAGGAATCGTGCAAATACCTGGATAACCTAGAAAAGATGTGAGAGTGGGGCTGGAGAGATGGCTCAGTGGTTAAGAGCACAGGCTGCTCTTCCAGAGGACTTGGGTTCAATTCCCAGCACCCACACGGCAGCTCACAACTGTCTATAACTCCAATTCCAGTAGATCTGACACCTTACACAGACATACACGCAGGCCAAATACCAACACACATAAAAATTAAATGAATAAACTAATTAATTTAAAAAAAAAGATGTGAGGGCAAGAAGATTCAGAGGGAAAGGGCTTTCTATTGATTTAGGTGTGTCCCTTAAGAAAAATATGACGTAACTTTTATTTCCAGCAATACACAGTAATAACCTAAATAACTTTCCTAAGAAAAAATCACTAAAAAGTTCAATAAAGCATTAAAAAAATTATATCCATCACTGAACTAACACTAAGAATTATCTAAACACTACAACAAAGTACAACCCAACTTTCTACAAGACAATCTGCCAAAGCCAGATCTTCCCCTCTAACAGTGTGTCGACTAGGGGTTTGCGCAAGGTCACAGTGCAACGGGAGACTGCAGAAAACCCAAACTCCCTGTGGTTCAAGAAATAAACCTCACTAGTGTGACAGAAGGTGGCTCTCTTTGCAACGTGACACTGAGGTTAAGAAAAACACTTTTAAGAAAAGAAAATGCAGAAAAAGCCAACACACCTACAATCACAGAACTGGGAGTGGGAGGCAGGAGTTTCAGGAGTTCAAGGTTACCCTCAGCTACAAAGCAGGTTTGAGGCCAGCTTGGGCTGTGAGACAATCTCAAAATACCAAAAGGAAATGGGGGGGGGGGGTTTAGATAAATGCCAATCTATGGGATGCATAGTGAGAAGAGAAAATAGCCAAGCAGAGAGATGTGGCAAAATATCTAGTGGCCCACAGTGTTCTTTAAACTGTCCTAGCAGCTTTGTACAGGCTTAAAGATTTTTGAAAACATGAAGCTGAAGAGAAAAAATACCAAGAATATATATACCAAAATGTTGACACTCAACATTCCAAAAGGAATTCCACAAGGAACATTTGAAAATTGCACTTCCTCTAGATCATTCTACAATAACAACCTAGTAACTGTATAACAAACTATTTTAAAACTTCTATTAGAAGCCACTTACACATCCACAGGAATCTGGTCCCCCGTTGAAGAGGGAACAAGTCATCCTTACAATTTCTGCCTCTAACTTCCGTAGGCCGGGGAAGATATCTGGATGCAGTGGATTGCTCCACGCGAACTCTCCATAAGCCTGCAAAGAAATGCAGAGGTGTATTATAAGACAGGCTGTTCCACTAAACGACAGAGAAGCACTCGTGAGTAAGGTTTTCAGGTATTGGGTCCAACAGTAAGAACTGGAAAAGGGGTATGAACTATTATTCCCCAACTTAAAGATTGAAATATAATGGAAGAGATAGACATCTATATTTTACAATGTGGTAAGGGAAGAAGTATAAATGCAGTTGAAAAGTAAGAACTGGAAAAAGGGTATGAACTATTATTCCCCAACTTAAAGATTGAAATATAATGGAAGAGATAGACATCTATATTTTACAATGTGGTAAGGGAAGAAGTATAAATGCAGTTGAAAGTATTAAACTCTAACACCAACAGATCACCATCGCTCTGAATTCATACAGCCACTGTTACTGAATTAATGTATCTGTATGTGCTAAGGGATCCTGATGAGGGGACTGCTAACATCCTCAGTGCTCTAGAGGTGCTGGATGAGAGGAACATCAAGAGAGGAATGGAAATTCATCCTATGGAACAGGAGGGAAAGAAATGTAAACGATCAAGACATGTATCTACACGGAGGGTATCAGGGATAATTAAAGTAACAGGTAGCAGTTGGAATGTAAAGAGACACGTCATTCCTACTGCATGAGAATTTGACCTTCATCTACAGATAATGAAGAGTTTAAACAAAGAATTATGACCAGGACATTATGCCAAGACATAACTAAGTAAACCCTCTAATACTAAGGTGTGTGTGGTTTCACAGTAATAAACACAAGGCCTGAAAGACCACAACTTTAACTGTAATTTCATATAAGAAGTGGCTTTCAAAACTAAGCTTGATTTCAAGTGGAAGAAGCTACATCCCGTTCTAAAGTCAGGATCACCTTGTGGGGTATGCTTTGAGAACATTATGATCAAGCAGCCTTGCCCTGACTCCTGTATCAAACAACAACACTTCTAGCATTAAAAATCTCAAATGAAGCCCAGCAAAGTGGAACAGACCGTTAGTCCCAGCACTCAGGAGGCAGAGGCAGGAGGATCTCTGTGAGTTTGAAGCAGCCTGGTCTACAGAGTGAGTTCCAGGACAGCCAGGGCTACATACAGAGACCCAATCTCAAAAAACAAAACCAGTATCCTCAAAATCCAGGCTCCTTCACTAAAAATATGGCTTCCTCAGAGAACCTAGTAAAGACCAGAGATATAAATGACATTTCACCTTTTCACAGTCTGAAGACGCATTTGACATTATTATGCACAGTCACTTGTTTACATGAAAAGAAACTTCTAAATTGCTACGGTGTTATTTCAACAGTAAACTTCCCTTAAATGATGTTACTCTTATTACTACAAAAAGGACATTAAACAGTTCAGTGAACTGGGAATGGTGCCTGTGCACACAAGCACCCAGTGTTCACCTGCACCAGCAGCTCTGTGAGTTTCGGCTCCCCACTGTACACAGCTCCTGAGGCTTTCCCTTCTTGCCAGACGGTATCTGCAGAAAAAGTCAAGGTCCCTCAGTCAGCAAGCAGGCATCACTGGGAAGACAGGTATTAATACAGACAGGACAGACAAAAACTTCAGTGCGCATGGGTAAAAAAATTTCAGGAACCAGACATATGGCTCAGCAGTTAAGAATATGTATTCTCTTGCAGTGGACCAGAGTTCAGATCCCAGTGCCCACATCAGGCAGTTCACAACTTCCTGTGTCTCCAGCTCCAGGGGACCCAATGCTGCCTTCTAGCTTCTGAGGGCATCCATACTCAAATATACGTATTCCCACACAGACACACCCCACACACACAATTTAAAAAATACTTTTAAAAAGTAAAAGAATAAGTTGAGTAGAAACTCAATGCTGTTCTTATATTAAAAACAAAAAAAAATTCAATAATGATTTACCACAGCAAAATAGAAATCAAAGGCCATTCGTTAATTGTAAGAAAAGACAGGAACTGCATCAAGGTATAATAAAGACAGACAGTGATGTCGCCCTCACCCTCAGCTACCTTCTCAACATCAAAGCTGCCCTTTGCCTCCATGTACTTCCTGGTCTCCGTATGACCCTTCTCTGTAGCAGCTTCCCCATCCCTTCCTTTCCCAATCCAGTCACAGGAAGTGGAGGAACTGCTATAAGCAGAGCTGACAGAAAAGAGCAAGTGTGAAATCTCACTACACAAACTCCAGAGCCGCAACCTGAGCACAAAGCATACCAATGGAGGAGCACCTCCAGCTCAGGCCCCTCCCGTTCTCCCAGGCCTGGAAATACTGCAGTAGCCACTTGCCCATGCCATAACCAACGTTCAAGAGCAGGCATGGAAGTGACCACAAGACAAGGCGAGGAGGGTTCCCCCCCAGAATTCCACTTGCTGTCCCAGAAACACTCTGTATATATTCACAGATCTGCTGAGATGGGTCCTTCAGGTCTTCCTGCTCCCACAAGGCTGCACCCTAGTGAAAGTAGGTCTGGGAGAGGGGTGTTGCCGAAACACACTAACCAAAAAGTACATGGAACCACCGGCCCTCCAAAGCAGAGTTATCCAGTTCTAACAAGAGCAGAAGGCTGAACAGCAAACGGAGAGGCAAAGCCCTCCTTCCCACAGCCATGAGTCCTTTAGTCTGACTTTCACTCTCTTCTTACAGGACATGGCTGTGTACCACACAACTTCAGGCCTATGGGCACCATGCTTAAGGACAGACAGGGTGCGTGGTTTCACACCCTGCTCTTTGACTATTCCAAAGAATACAGATGGGTAAGGACATAAAAAATGAAGGCAGGACGGCAGCATATGCCCAAAAAACATGGAAATCTAGACAATGCAGGTCCCAGGGCTGCTAACGCCTGTTCCATTATCATTGCATCCTGGACCAGGAGTGCTCAACCTTTGAACATTATAATATGGCACTATTATCTACAAACGTGTTGAGCCTCATTCAGGGCTATCCTGGGAAACGTGTTTCCATGGGCTACAGGTTGGACATACTTGTTCCAGACCACATGTAATTCTGTACTACACAATATCAAGAAATCTACATGTATCAATTATAAACTTTAAAAGCTGTTTGTCAAAATGCAATCTGAACTGGGCCCTAGAACAGAAAAATGGATATGAGTAGAAAAAACAGAATTTGTTCCTAGTTCCTAGTGCTGTACTGGTGTTATTTTTCTTCTTTTGACAAATGTAACATGCTTTTAATTAGGGTGAGAAGCACACAGGAAATTGCTATACCATTTTTGCTACTTGATTATCAATTTAAAATGTCAAACTGAAAAGCTTATTTGGAAGGAGATGTTGCCTAGCTGGTGAGTGCTTGACTGGCATGCACTGGGCCATGGCTTCAGTACTAACACTGCATAAACCGGCAGTGATACACCCTGCCATCCAAGCTCATGGGAAGTGGCCACAGGAAGATCAAATATTCCAGGTCATCCTAAGCTGTATTAAGAGCCTGTTTCAAAAACCAAAAGGCTTAAGTTTTTAAATCCTACCTATAACAGACATGCATGTGTTTATGTTAATAAGAGCAGCAGTAATACTTAACATTTATCGAACAACTATTATGACATATGCTAGACACTACATGTTTCCATGTATGATGGATGTCCTTTACTCTCTTAATCCAACTTTTAGGGAAGTAGAAATTGTAAGGATAAACTGGAGGACACAGAAGGTAAAGATCTCTCCCAAGGTCATATTGAAGTTGAACGTCCAGGCATATTTGAACCCAAGTAATTCTCAGGTTATGGTCTTGAGCATGAGACTATATGGTATGTGCCAATACATATCTGTATAGCTCAGTAGGTATAAACAAATACACACCCATACAGATCAATCATCCATTCATCCATCCACCTACTCCTTTTTTTCCATTTATTTACTTATTTATTTATTTATTTATTTAATTATTTATTATGTTTATGTTACATTTGGTCTGGGACAAGTATGTCCAACCTGTAGCCCATGGAAACAAGTTTTTGTATATTTGTTTTTATGTTTGTGAGTGTTTTCCCTGAATGTCTGTCTGTGTACCTATGTGCACGCCTCATGCCATGGAGGACAGAAGGGGGACCTGGATCCCCTGGAACCAGAGTTACAGATAGTTGTAAGTCACCAGGTGGGCGCTGGGAATTGAACCCCAGGCCTCTGGAAGAGCAGCCAGTGTTCTTAAGCACTAAACCATCTCTCTAGCCCCTGCCTACCTATCTCTATCATCGGTGTTCATCTTCTTTCATTTTTAAAATTTTGCTTGTTTATTTTTTGAAACAGTATCTACAGAAGCCCTAGCTGGCCTGATACTACAAGATCTGAGCTGGTCTTCAGCTTGCAGCAATCCTCTTAACTCAGCCTTCTAAGTATTGGAATTACAGGCAAGTACCGCCACACCCAGCTTTGTGCTCATCTTTGGATGGTGGAGTCATAGTAAATGTTTTTTTAGTAATCTGTGCCTTGAAACAGTTATCACAATTTTCACAGAAATCTGTATTTCATCTGCAATATGCAATCTGGTCTTTGAAGTAGGGAATTGGTCCTCCTGTACACGTAAGCGCCAAATGACCCTTGACCTACATCAACATTAGCCAATGGTAAGGACAGAGGCAGCACCCTTGGGCCGAGGCTCACCCATGGAACTGTACTCCTTGAGTTTCTCCAGAACATCAGATGTGCTCAGACCCTGAGCAGGCAGAGCTTTCACATACTCTTTGTCCACCTTCAGGAACGGCATATTCTTGATGACGTCCTTCTTGGCCTTACTCAACTGTTCTTCGATCTTCAAGGATAAAGGAAAACAAAGTTAACTAGAGGGTAAAAGAGTGAGGTCCAGAGGGTAGAAGGCCATCTCTGAGATCCAGTCAATGTTCAACACCAGGCACTGCAGACGTGCTACTGAATTAGAAGGGGCTTGTCTTTTTTTTTTTTTCCTCCAGGAAACTGAACGTTTTATCCGTTTAGCCAGCCAGCATATACAATGCCCCTCAGAAGTTTAAAAAGCCAGCTTTCCTTCTAAAAGTCAAAGACGCATTGAGTTTCCCCCTCTGCCAGCTGTGCTGATACCACCAACACTGCGCTGCACTTGGTGTGAACTGACTTAAGGCAGCACTAGCCCGAGTGCAACATCAGGCCTTTCTTGCTGTGTTGTCCACAGTGATACTGTGATTGACAAGACAGTCATAAAACAGGCCAAGCTACAGTCAAAGGGGATCCTGCTGTTTTGCAATTGATGAATAACTTCAACAGACATCTGCAATGTACCACAAGAATGGAGATCCACACAGCTCCCAAGGTACCCACACGGACCTAAAAATTGCCAGGATGACTATACTACGTCTCCTTAAGCTGCTATGGGCAGCTTGACCCATCTGACCCAGAAATGCTAGGAGGAACTAAGGGCCTTTCTGCCATGTAATTTACCAACTACGATTCTTTTTCCATCCTCATAGCTACACTTTCTTAGTCATTTCTTTCATTCATTTACTTACTCATTTTGCTCAAAAAATATTTGCTGAAATACTACTACAGGCTAGGGATACAGCTATTAGAAAACAAAAAAACAGCTGGGCGGTGGTGGCGCATGAACTAAATGCCTCCCAGCAATTGGGGGGCGGAGGCAAGCGGATCTCTGTGAGTTCGAGGCCAGCCTGGTCTACAGAGTGAGTTCCAGGACAGCCAGGGCTGTTACACAGAGAAACCCTATCTTGAAAAAGCAAAACAAAAAAAAACAACCAAAAACCAAAAACCTGATACACGTTGTAAAAAAAAAAAAAGAAAAGCCCTCATCTCATGAAGCTTATTTTTAGTAAGAGAGACAGAAAATTCTACTAATGGTGCTCAGGAGAGAAACAACAGCAAATTATGGACACAAAATGGCAGGAACTGCTACTTTTGAGACTCTTGGGTGCTAGGTGTAGAGAGAAAGGCTGTATGTTATAATCAATCTATATGCTACAGTGCTGTGCTTCAGCAATATAGTCAGTGAAGTCTAATGCCCAAGATCTCACACCAGGATTTAAATTTTTCTCAGTCCTGGCCACAGATGAATAGAATACAGAGGATCTTCTTACATGTGGCCCTCAGTGAAGTCACTGAAAAGCTACTCCTTTAAAGCATGTCAGCACCGCAGGCAGCAGACAACTGGGCAATGTTGAGTCACGTTATGTACATTTTTAAGTTATAAACAGAAGACCCTGCTGCATGTACAGTGACCATACAACAGGAGCACACTATGAAAGCCAAGTGTTCATGGATAGATCACACTGTTTTAAGAAGGGAAAATGGAACCCCCCACAAAAAAAAAAAAAAAAATCCCACTGGGAAGGATATTAAAAAGCACAGCAAATACTTCCCCTCCCCAATCCTTACATCTATTACATTACAAAATTTATTTTTTGTAAATTTGTAAATTTTTATATTTATATAAAATTTATGTATTTATATATAAAATTTTATATTTTTTATAAAATTATAAAATGCAAATGTTATGTTTGTTTGCTTTCTGTCTTTTCTACTAAAATGCAAGTTCCACAGGAGGAAGGACTTGCTGCTTGTTCAACTAGCACTTTAAAATGGTAAAACGGACTAAGACTGAGGAAGTGCGTGTGTACCCACAATAACTTCCTGTCTCTAAGCCTCAGAATCTGCTTCTGGAAAATGAAGGCACTTACATGGCCTCTAAGGATCTTCAAGTCTATACTTTCCTAAACTTAAGAATGGGTTCTGGAATCCCAGCATTTCTTTGTCTCCAAACTTGCGAGGGGCGAGGACGGCAGGTCAGCAGTGGAGTGCCTGCCCAGTCGGGTTGGGGTCCCACGTGTGATGACTATCGTCACCACTGCTGCCGCCATCACCTTCTCCACCATCACCTTCTCCACCATCACCACCACCACCACTGACCAGGACACCACCGCCACTGTTACTCCCAAACCTCGAGAAAAGGGACACCGTACTGCAGCTCAGCAGTCAAGTGACTGCCTTGCGTTGGTCAGGTCCCAGAGTCCATCCCCAGTCCCCCACTACCACCACCAAAGAAGGAGTTTTCTTTGGGGGATCCAGCTCAGTAGCAGAAAGCTTGCCTTTTCTGTACGAGGTACCTGATTTGATTCCCAACACTGCAAAAATCAATCAATCAGTTAAATCAAATCATTCTTGGAAGTGAAGGAGAAAGGTGGAGACATTAAAATCACAAGGAATACTTACTAACGGGGAGTCCTTCTCCCCTTGGTGACACAGCGGGCCTTTCACAGTAGCCCCCTCCCCTACTCTGGGAGACTCAAGAGTCAAAAGTGTAGAAAAACCAGAAAGTAAGTGAAGCTTCTGTCAGAGAGAAGGGGAGAGGCAGGTCAGAGCAGGGCACTGGGGCTCTGAGGACACTCAGGATTCACAGGCCTTTACACCTTGCAAGAAGCCTGTCCTGCTAATCTCCCCTTGATAAAGAGCCCAGCCCTGAGAACTATCTTATCCAGTGTGAGTGATAGCAAGGAGGACACAGTGAAGACAGCAAGTCTACAAAAAGGAGCAAAGAGGACACAGTGAAGACAGCAAGTCTACAAAAAGGAGCAAAGAGGACACAGTGAAGACAGCAAGTCTACAAAAAGGAGCAAAGAGCAAGAAAACAGCTGTTACCGCTCTTGAGCTTCCAACCTGGGATCAGGGAACTATTGCGGAGGCCCACCTGTTTTTGTGAACACAGTCTCCCTGGAACACAGGCAGGTTCATTCCTTACCTATCATCGTTCTGGGACCCACAGACGCAAGAATGTTTCCTGTCTGGATCTTCACAGAAAGTTTGTCAACCTGTGATCTACTCCCCAGATGAGTATCTAAATTCAGTCAGGCCAAATACTGTCCTAAAGCACAGTAAGACTTCAGTTGGGTTTTCTAATTTCCTTAACAGTCCCCTCACCTCTCCTTTGGAGAAAGTGTTAAGGTGAGGTTTCTCAAATGTGGCCTTTCCAACATCTTAAGCCAGATACACCTGCTGGGGGGCATCCATACCATGCACTGGGAAGCGTTTTACAGCCACCCAGCCTCCACCCATAGATGCCAGGAACCTGTCACTAGAACTGCCCAACCTGACCAGTTTCCAAACACTGTCAAATGCCGTATAAGTTTGGGGGACAAAAAAGTCACTCCTCTTCCTTGAGAATACTGATCTGGCAACAGAAAGAAGTGGTATACACACTAAACAGGGAAAGACCCGCAGATTGTGCCTACCTTGCGTCCAATAAATGGCATCTTCCTTATTAGCTTAAATAATTTTTTTTTAAACCGTGACCATAAACCTACAAGAAACAAATAGTTCTATTAGTCACATGAAATTCCATGGATTATAACCTACTAGTCAACGGACAGCAATTATTCAGCTGTCTCTTACAACTTCACTTCCTCCAGAGGGAATGTTTCTTCTAGTTTTTGAATAATATATTTATGCAGCCCGAGATTTCAATAAATAAACACATGTGGTAATGTTTCTTCACCCTCATCCCTCCGCCCAGACCTCATCCTGCCCTTACCTTACACACACTTTGTTTCCAGCATACATTTCTAGAGTTTGATATATTTACCAGCAACAGTAAACATAAAGCCCCATTTATTTCTCTCTTTTACTGAAGAGGTAGTATAGTCTACATAGTAGACCTTGTTTTTCCACTCAGAAATATTAAAGATTAGCATCTCCTCATTCATTCCTGCTGTGTATATGTAAGGTATGAGTAGACGTGTGCTCACGCTCATCTAAGTGCCAGTGTGAATGCACATGTGCATTCCATGAAAGTGTCACAGCCTAGTTAACCTTCTCCTCACCGAAGGACACATAGGTTCTTCTTAATTCTTGCTGTTACAAACCATCCTAAAAAGAAATAACCTTTTAATACACGTCATACTGAACACACAAAAGTATGTCCACGGGCTGAATTCACAGAAGCAGAGTTGTCAGTCAAATGACAGATGTATTCCAGAGTTCCTGACCTTCCCAAAGTTTCCAAATATGCAGACATCTCTCTACCCCCAAAGCACATGACCAATTCATGCTTCCCTCCAGGACTTATAGACCAGTCTCTCAAACAACACTGACCCTGACAACATTTTCCAGACCTAAAAGGAACCTGAAAATCATGGATGTCAGAGTCCACTTTGAGGCAGTTACAAAGGACAAAGAATTCTGACCCTGTTGATGACAATAATTATAAATCAACAAGTTGGCAGGCCGCTTGTGCATTCACAGTGAATACACTTCAACTGAGCCTAGAAGCAGCATTTTAAGGCTGGGCTAGGAGGCTTTACAGGGTATCTAAGAAGGACAGACATAAAAGATAACTGAGGATCGGAGAATCAGAACTTGTTCAATGCACAGTTCAGAGCAGTGAGAGAGCAGGCGTTAAGTGAAGTCTTCACTTTTTCAGTCTAGGACCCCCAGGACTCTACCCTGCTTCAAATGCAATGTAGAGAGACTCTTTTGTTATCCAGGCGTAACTAGGAGACCCTAGACCAGCTTTCATCCGAGGCATGCACTGAATATGGACCTTTGCTGCATTCCGAAGGGATCTGGGTAGGGCAACTCCTAACTCGGTGCCACACGGGCACGTCTATTCCCTCAGCTGGTACTCCTCAGGGCCTGTCTGCACCTCTGCTTTACTGTGCTTGCTTTAGGTGACACTGTCCTACTACTACTGTAACCCATCAACACTGTCAATCCTGGCGACAAAATCACTGAGACCCAGACTATGATAAAACAACACTGAAGCCACTCATTTGTTTTCAGAATATTTTCTTCTAGACACTGTAATGTACAATTAAATATTTGTACATGAATTAGCTATATCCCTTTTCTATATTAAAAATTCTTGCTGGGTATGGTGGCACAGGCCTTTGATTTTAGTACTCGGGAGGCAGAGGCAAGCAGATCTCTGAGAGTTCAAGGCCAGTGTGGTCTACAGATCAAGTCCCCGAACAGCCAAAGCTGTTACACAGAGAAACCCTGTCTCAAAAAACAAAACGAACAGACAAAAATTCTTCTGGACCAGTGAGATGTCTCAGCAGGTAAAGGCACTTGCTGTCTCATTATCTGAATTCAATCTCAGGAACCCACATAAAGGTAGAAAGTAGAAATTGACACCAGAGTTATCCTCTGACCACATGTGTGCTGTAGGACACACACACACATCATATATACACCCAGATGTACATACACACCCCCATAATAAAATCAATAAAGATTTTAAAATGTCCTTCCCTCCAAGTGTGGTGGCACATGCTTTTAATACTAACGTGGGAGGAGGCAGAGACAGGCAGACCTCTGTGAATTTGAGGCTAGTCTGATCTACACAGTGAGTTCCAGGCCAGTCAGGGTCACACAAAACCGTGACTCTACATAAACATAAAAAGTGAAAATTCCTTTTAATATATTTGGGGGAGAGATGGACATGGCACTTGTGGAAGTCAGAGACCAACTTCAAGTAATGGTCCTTGCCTTCCACCTTGAGACAGGAGCTCTTCTTTTTTGTTCACTGCTGTGTATACAGGCTATGGATTTCCAGGGGTTCTCCTCTTGTCTTGCCATAGGAGCACTGAGATTACAGACACACGAAACAGTACCTGGCTTTTTTACGTGGGGGCTAGAAATTCAAACCCAGATGGCCAGGTTTGCACAGCAAATGCCTTTACATAATGCAGAGCCACAGTTAAAATCAACAGTACACAGGCGTACCATGTGAGCTCACGTTCCTCAGTCAGCAGTAAGGAAGAAGTGGCACCTCAGACAGCTTGCTGACCCCTCCCCTGACTTCCACCATATGTTCCAGAATTACCCTCCCTACCCTCAGGAGGAGAGCAGAGTTTAAAGATCAGTCAGATTTAACACTAGGCTGGATTTCAGATGTTCAAGTACACTACACTAAAAGTATTATATATGTAATATATATAATTATATATATGTGTGTGTGTGTGTGTGTGTGTATATTTTTTTTTTTTTGGCTTTTTGAGACAGGGTTTCTCTGTGTAGTTTTTGAGCCTGTCCTGGATATTGCTTTGTAGCCCAGGCTGGCCTCGAACTCACAGAGATCTGCCTGGCTCTGCCTCCCGAGTGCTGGGATTAAAGTCATGAGCCACCACCACCCAGCTCCTTCCTTCCTTTCAAGACAGGGTCTCACTCTATAGTCCAGGCTGGCCTGGAACTTGCTATGTAGTCTAACCCACTTCCATCTGCAGATTCTCTTGCCTCAGCCTCCTGAGTGTTGAGATTTCAGGCATGAGCTACAATGTCTGGCTTCTGAAGGAGTAACATTCTTATCTGTGTCCAACATTCCATTTGGAAGTTAAAAATAAAAACTGGTGTGGGTATTATGGTAAGCCAAATGAAACTGTCAATGTCCACCTAGTTTTAGCCTATAAAAACTCCATCTTGCCTGACTCAATCTATTCAGATTAGAAATAGACAGCCAGCTGTGTGATGGTTAATCTCGATTGCCAGCTCCTTTGTATTTGGAATCAACTAAGAGACAAGCCTCTGTCAGAGCATTTCCAGGAAGGATTAACTCAGGGAAAAGAACCTCTCCCAGGGTGGGCCACACCCTCAGGGGCCCAGATAGGATGTGGTTTAGGGAAAGGCAGAGCTGCGGCTTTTGCTGTCGCCCTTCTTAGCCATTGGAACCTGTGTCTTTGGCCTTCCCAGACAAAGGCCAGTGGCTCTTGTGTATCCTCTAGGCAGGCCTGGAGCATAAGACTGCTGAAAGACCCAGCTTCAGACTGAGCAGCTACTGGGGTCTCAGTCTTCCAATGCCAAGACAGTCATTACTGGACCTACTCAGTAACTATTATGTAAGCCAATCTAATTAATCTCTTTCATTTTATTGGTCCAGTTCCTCTAGGAACCCTGACTAATGTAATTCTCTAGTAGTAAGATTTTAATTGGTCTCAGTGGCTTATCTATATTGTATACATTTCCTACAATGAGCACAGACTCCTTTTTAATGAAAAATCACATTAAAAGTTAAAATGGCTTGGAGTTCAACCCACAAAGACTTAAATAACATATCTTACTAATATGTTTTGGTAGTTTTCATATGGAATTTTCAGGATCAGCATGTAAGCAAGCACCAGGACCCAAGATGATTGTATTTCTGCTACAAGTTCAACAAAATGCATGGCACAGCCAAATGACAACTGAAATATCTAACCACAGAAAACAGAGGTGATGAATGTTAACTAGCTCAACCTGGCCATTATACAATATATACATACTTCAAAACAGTATGTTGTACTAAATAAACTTTTTCATTTAAAGAAGTAAATACCTAAAACTAATACTAATTACAATAAATAGGTAAAAATGTCAACAGCTCTAATTTTAGTCTGGTTTTATAAATATATAATTTTAAAATGAAAAGTTCCCAGAATGATGATTTTTAAGGATTAGGGAAAATGGGGACTTTGAAATTTTCTGGGTTTTGAGACAGGGTCAATATAGTCCAGGCTGACCCCAAACTTATAATCTTCTTGCTTAGCTTTGCAAAGGGCTGAGAGGTCAAAGTTGCACCATCATGCCTAGCTCAGGAATTGTTTGCTTGTTGAAAGTTCAATTTAGACTAAAGAGAAAATTCTGAAGAGAGAGATTGTACAATGTGAATTAAGTATGAATACCACTAAACAGTATACTTTAAAATGACTAAAGTGAGAGGCTGGAGTATAGTTCAGTGGTAGAGTACTTGCCCAGCATGCACAAGGCCCAGTGTTTGATCCCAGCAAGCCTCTTCCCAAGCTTAAAAAGGTAACGTAAGGCATGAACATGGTGCACAGACAGGTATGTAAGCAAACACCCACACATAAAATAGAAAATAATTTTAAAAGGCAACATAGATGTAAATGTACTATCACAGTAAAAAAGAAAAAAAGAAGCCAGACATGTGGTATCCACCTGTAATCCCAGCATTCAGGAGGACCACTGTGAGCTACAAGCAAGTCTGGTCTACACAGTGAGACCCTATCTCAAGTTGAAACAAAACAAGACAAGACAGATGAGATGAGATTGGGGGGGGGGGGGGGAGGTGAGGGAGGGAGGGAGGAGGAGAAGACAGAGAGCATAAATGAATAGATGAATACAATGGGCTCCTTGCCACTGACTCAAAACACTTCCCGGGTAAGGAGTCCACCTGAATAGATAACTAAGGCTACAGCCACACGTGTAAACCATGAGCCGAAACAAAAGGCCAGTCTCATCAACAGTGTAGGAGGAAATCCAGCAAGGAAGAGGACCAGAAACTGAAGACAGTGTGTTAGAGCTGCAGTGAACTATAATTTTAGACAGGACAGTCACGTCTCATCTCCACTTTAATTAACAAGCTCTAAAGCAGTGGAACTTGCCTCTCGGCCGGCAGGTTTTGCAACATTTATTTTGTTTTAACTGCAATGCTACTAAAATAGATCAATGGCTACATGATAAAGAGATAAAAACAAAGCACACACACACACACACACATGCACAAAACGGGGGCTGGAGAGATGGCTCAGTGGTTAAGAGCACTGGCTGCTCCTTCTGGAGGACCAGTTTCATTCCCAGCACCCACACGGCAGCTCACACTGTCTATAGCTCCAGTTCCAGGGGATCTGACACCCTCACACAGACACACATGCAGGCAAAACACCAGTGCACATAAAAATAATAAGAATAAAATCATTTTTTAAAAAAGGATAAAAACAATCTAGTTTCTAAATGGACTTTCCCAGGAAAATGGAAAAAGAACAGTTAAAGTGCCCCCAACAGATAGCATTAAGGAGGTGAAACAATGGAGAAAATATCAAACAAATGAAAAATGATTAGATTTTCTTCAGAGTTATTTACTTCTTCTACCAAGGAAGCTACCCAAGATATTAGTAAGTGTGGGGAGAGCCCAGAGAGCATTACAAAATACCTACTGCCAACATCTACGATTTGGTTATAAATATAATCAAACAACTTCCCAAACACAGCAGCCTGTGGAAGAAAATAACTCATAGGGTTACGGTCACAGTCACCTAGAGGTCTAGGTGAGCAAGAGATGGGTGTGTAGGAAAGGTGCTGATGCCAAAGGTGCTTATGCCTTAGGAAGGTTGGGACATTTGCAAGCCAATCACTGAAAGACATCTCATCCTCTGCAGTCCTGAGGAATGGCGTCCTTCCCATGTCCACCTGAGAAGTCACTACTACTGTCCTTTAAGAGAAGTTTAACTCCAAAGGAAGAGGAGCCATACATTACCATGCAGATATCCCTAGGGCTCACCAGCTCTACGAGCACTGCTCCTAATCTTTAATCAAAAGGAAAGCCATAAATGAAAGCAATACATTTCTACTCTGGGATAACACAATTATGTTCTAGGAAGAAACTGGTACTTAAAAAAAGTGTAACTACACTCTGAGACACCTGTGAATGTTTACAGTAACTAGTATCTCAGGAATGTTTATGTCAACTACAAATGAAAAAAAAAAAAAACCACAAAACCATAAATAATAATAGTTACCCAAAAGTACTTACTAACAGAACTTCCCATCTAAATAGATTTTAAAAGGCAGAACTAAACTCAAAGAGATGCTTCCAACCCATCACCCACGAGTGACATTCCAGCCTACCTTTACAGAAGGGGCAGTATACTTACTCTCTGGCTGGAAGATAAGCTCATACACCCAGACTATCAGCAGAGTACACAGGACACTCCATGCAATTAGCTGCCAGGGCTCGTATTTGGTGCAATACCCGTTCACATAATTCTTGGCTTTTGTGCAATATGCTTCCAAAATCTCCAAGTAAGGCTCAAAGTCCTTCTAGAAATATAAGAGGAAAAACAGAAACATTACTAAACTCAGAGAAAGGAAGTCTGTTCTTGGTTCGTTCTTCATTCCTCATTTTTCAAGGGCAAAGTGTTATTCATGATGTGGCCGCACCTCAGCAATAATCTTATCATCTTCTGCAGCCCTCAAAGTTTCTACACCAGTTGCTCCCATCAAACAGTGCCACGTGGACTTTGATACAATTTTTGATCTGCTTATTCTGTAAAATAAGAGGACTAATCTTGATCACGTCAGTGTTAGCTGTCACCTTTATCTCACTGCTAGGACTCTGAGACGGTCTCTCTCTTAAACAACTCTCAACGTGAGCGCCACTTTTCCCGTACTCTGTATGAATTTCCCCTTCTGTGCAGATCCAGACTGTGATGGTTTTAGGTGTGAACCGGTTCTGTTACAGCTACTCACCTCCGTGTGCTAATGAATGTGGCGGGGTTCCTACACAACTTAACTATATGTACATTCCCATATCACAAAATACTCTTTTTAGCCAACAATCTGAAAATGTAAAAACCAAGCATCATGATGGTTCATGAAAACAATCCTAGCACTCAGAGGCTGAAGTAGTACCACAAGTGTGAGACCAGCCTGGACTACATAATGAGACTCTGTCTAAAAAGAAAGTAAAAATCATTCTTGGATCATAGCGGCAGATTCAACTATGAGGTTACTGCTGGCTAGTCCCTGCTCTAAAAACTCACTTACCCACTCTTGAAGTCTAGCACAGTAGTTTATTATCACTGTATCCCACACCGTACCTGACATAAACAACAAAAATCTCATCCGTAAACTTACCAGATGCAGTCAAAATCTGAAATGGAACCTAGGACCTCCTTCATGCATGCCAGATCCAGGTAAATATTCTACCACTGAGCGACATCCCAAGCTCTTCTTTACTTTTAATTTGGAGACAGGGTATAACTAGGTTGTCAGGCTAGTCTTGTACTCCCTTTATAGGCAAAGCAGTTCTCAAACTTACATCCTCTTGCCTCAGCCTCCTAAGCAGCTGGGATTACAAAACTGAACCACTAAGTCTGGACAGATCTCACTCTTAAAAACTCATCTCTCGCCGAGATGGTGGCGCACGCCTTTAATCCCAGCACTCGGGAGGCAGAGCCAGGCGAATCTCTGTGAGTTCGAGGCCAGCCTGGGCTACCAAGTGAGTTCCAGGAAAGGCGCAAAGCTACACAGAAAAACCCTGTCTCGAAAAACAAAAAAAAAACAACTCATCTCTCTCTAAGTTTCTGTCAAGTATTAATTTGTGACAGGCTTATCACAACCTGCCTTGCAGTCTACTCTTCTATTTCTTATCTCCCTGACTATAAGGTGAGGCCCTTTAAGACCTGTTCTTATGCCTATTTACGAGGCCACAGTGCCTTGCAAAATTTAGTTCATTGGATATTTTGTTATTCATTCACTAACAGTTTTTTTGGCGGGCCGGAGTCGGAGTCGGGGCGGAGAGGTGAGAGGGAGTAGGGTGGGGGAGATGGAGGTGGTATTGGTTGGTTTTTCCAGACAGGGTTTTTCTGTGTAACAGCTCTGGCTGTCCTGGAACTTACTTTGTAGAGCAGACTGGCCTCAAACTCACTCACAGAGATACTCCTGCCTCTACTTCCCTAGTGCTGGGATTAAAGACGTGTGCCACCGCCGCCCAGCTGAGAGGATAAATTTTAAGCTAGTTAAAAAGGTAAAAGAAAATTCTACAGGACATTTAAAAAATGGTTTAAAAAACGGCATATCAGGAAGAGTATAGCAGCTGAAAATGCATAAAAAGAACCCAGGAAGAGCACAAGTTCTTACCATGTGTAAGAGTGAAGTACACAGAACAGGGACCATTTCTGTCTTACGCACTGCGGAGTTTCCACCATACAGCAGGCACACAGTCTTAACTGAACACGACTGTGGACAGTGGAGGGAACGGGATGTAGCAAGCAGAGAACTGAGGCAAGGAGGAGTTAAAATGGGCTTGGAACCCTGGCATAAAAGCACACCGCACCTACAATCTCAGAATCTGGAAAAATGAGGCAGGATAGGAGGATACTGATTTGAGTTTCAAGCTAGCCTAGTCTACATAGTGAAACCCTTTCTCAATAATGATATGATAATAATAGTGATAATGATGACAATAATAATAAATAGGCATAGAGAAAAATAGTATAGAAGGTAAAATTATAAATCAATAAGTTTTGGTAAAGTTAATAGATGGCATCTACTAACACTGTAAATCTTTATCTACTTTGATCCAAAAATACCACTTTGGGGCTTCTGCATTGTTCTCTCATTATGTTCACAGAGAGAAATGTTCAAGTGTGTTCCTCTCAATGTTCTTTCTAACAGAAAAAGAAAAATTCAAGAAATAGAAATGGCCGGGCAGTGGTGGCGCACGCCTTTAATCCCAGCACTCAGGAGGCAGAGGCAGGAGAGTCTCTGTGAGTTCGAGGCCAGCCTGGGCTACAGAGTGAGTTCCAGGAAAGGCATAAAGCTACACAGAGAAACCCTGTCTCGAAAAATCAAAAAAAAAAAAAAAAATAGAAATGTCCACAGATAGAGAAATGGTTAAACTATAACATATTTTATGTACCCATGTTGAAAGACTAAAAAATAAAGATCTTTTTATAAGTTTTTCTTAACTTAAGGAAAATATGGAGTAAAAGGAAACAAATCAGGACAATAAAAAACCAGATAAAAACTGTTGAACATGTAAGTAGTTTTTTGCTGATTATTTGGTGGAGATGACTAAGAGTAGATAGACATCAGGAACAAAGAGTTCAGCTGAGTGATTGCTAGAAAGGAGGGGTGAACTGGGTTTGCCCTTACGTGACATAACACTGGGAATGCTGCACCAATGTCTTATCAATTTGATAGGAAAACATACACATTTCTGCTTTGTGCTTCCTATGTTCAGATGGAGAAACAAATGTGATAGCTAGCTTTTGCTCCTGGCACCACATTTCTTGCCTTCTTCTACCATGATGGACTCCACTCCTCTGGAGTCATAGCCCTAGACAAATGTGACTCTCCTCATTAAAGAAAAAAAAAAAAATGAAAAATTGGGGTGATTTGTGTTTCGTTTTAAAGACAAGATCTCAACACTATAGCCCAGGCTGTCCTAGAACTCACTACATGGCCTAGGATAGCTTTAGCCTTGAACTAGCAGTAATCTTAATGATCCAGCCTCTACATGCTGGGATTATAGATGTAAGCCACCATACCCAGCTAGCAACACAAATCTGAAAGACATTTCTGAAGGTGTAGAAACTGGATTTAGTGACTGTCACAGTTAGCTTCAACGTCAACCAGACACAGCTTAGTCATGTAAGAAGGGAGTCTTGAATGAGGGATTGCTAGGTCACCCTGGCCTACGGGCATGTCTGTGGGGAACTGTCTTGGCTGTTCCTTGGAGGAGGACCCAGACCACTGTGGGTTCCACTATCCCCTGAGTAGGTGTTCTTGGGCTGCACTCAGTTAAGCTTGAGCCTGCGAGTAAACCAGCAAGCAACATTCCTCTGCGGTTTCTGCTTCAAGTTCAGGCCCGGACTTCCACCAACAATGGTCTGTGACCTGGAAGTATCAGCCAAATAAATCCTTTCCTTTCCTACGATGCTTTTGGTCAGTGTTTTATCACAGTAACAGAAAAGATACTAGAACAAAAACCTTTCGGCTATGAGAAATTATGGAGTGAGAATAGTACAAACAATTCCAACTTTTCAAGTTCAAGTTTGAGAGATTAGTTAAGTGGTTTACAATTAACTATGGTAAGACTAGAAGAAAAAGAAAGCTAAAGAGGTAGGAAGATGGTTTGAAAAAAGATAGTACTGGCTTGCGTTCTGTTCCTCTTGGGTATCTACTGTTGTTACGAACACGAAATCTCACAAATAGAACAGGTACTTAAATTCTTCTTGACCCTACTAAGGACTAAATGCTTTCATTCCCCACATAATTTCTGAACCCTCAAGCTGGTGTTATCAGGAGGTAGAAACCTTTAGAGGTTACAAAATCATGGAGGATCCTCCATGAGTACAATTAGTTCCCTTACAAGAGACAGACCCCAGAGAGTGTACTTGCTCCTTCTAAGTGAGGTCACAGCAAACATTCGCTGTCTAGGAACCCCTCATACGAACCTTCTTCTGAGTGCTACCTTCTAGAAGTGGGCCCTCAACTTATGTCGCCTTAAACTTAGACTTCCAGCCTCCAGAACTGTCAAAAAAATGAAGTTTTGTTGTTTATAAGCCACTGTTTAAGGCATTATGTTAAGCATCCCAAATGTACTAAAACAATACCTTTCGTAATTGGACTAATAAAAGGCAATTAACAATAGGCAAGTTTTAGGTTCCCTGAGGGCTACCCATGGAAACAGCTTATCTACAACAGGTGGCCATTCCCTAGAGTCCACTGTTGCTATCAACAGCTTCCATCCTACAAAGCAATGGCAATTCCAGCAAAAAAAACTGGGAAAGACCAGAGCAGTCTGTCACCATCAAAGGGATGCAGGGATGCCATGATTTCTACCAGAGGAGACTTGGGTCAAAACTGTGATCAAACCATATAGTTAAACAGTGTGTTTTGAGTGGTGGTACTAACTCCTAATTCACATAGAAATTACATGTTAGCAATGTCAAAAGATAACATCTGATACTGATTCTTCATAGCATTGAATGAAAAGGAACATTAGAGACAAAGCGAAGAACCAGGAAATGAAAAACAAATGCTCAAAAGCCTTAAAATTATATTATATACACAGTCTTCATTAACTCAATTACAAAATTAAATTCAGCAAAAACATACTTTCTTGGTGACTGCGTCAATTCTTTTTCAAAAATTATTTTTAATTTTCAAGTGTGTGGGGGGGGCGGGTTGGAAACCACCCA